CTATGCACTGGGAGCATATAAGCATGGGAATATCTAATATTTAAGTTTCAGATTTCGCCTTTAAAATGTTTTGGTAGCTTCTCATCATATCAAGGCTGGTCTACACAAATGGAGGTGATGCCATTTTGGTGTTAGCATCAAATGGCATTCATTTTCTCTGGAAATGGCCACAGGACCTTAATTCTAGTGGAGTGGTAAAGAATGACATACTTTATAATTCCTTCCTGTTAGATTTCTCCTCTCTTTCCTTTCAAATTGAAACCGAAGCGACAGTTGGTCATTTGATTTTGATGATATTGATTGAACGCAGGCAACTCCCAAGGTTCAACCTAATTTATGGAAACCAAGGAGTGGCTTAAAGCTGATGAACAATGACCTTCCCAGCACCAAACCTGAAGACATTATGTCCTGCTTTGATTTGTCCAAGAGTGATTCATATCTCATATCAGCAACAGGAGGGATGATCTCCATTTTTGACATGACAACATTTAAGGTAAACCCAACACAAATAGTATTCTTGAAATTTTCTATTCCCAGCCAAAACTTCCCAAATCTTGTTTGTCAATATGCTTAGGTTATGTTTGCAAATTTCTCATGATCTAACTCATTGTACTCATAAAAATCTGTTGCATAAAATCATAGATCAGGTCAGTATTAAAATTCCATTATTATTTCTGTTCATCATCATATCACATTAGTCCCACCAATTTTAACTCAAAGTTTATTCTCAAGTCTCCATTTAGGTTGCACCAAATTTCAGTTTGTATATTTGTTTATCCAAAAGGATCCCAAAATCTGCTTCAAATATTTGTTTTGTAGACAAGTTCATATAATTCCAAATGTATATACTTGTATAAAATACCTATGTAATTTGAATATGAACTGTATGCCATACGACTAATTGCATTGAAAAGCCAATCAAAGGATTTAGCAGAAATAACCAGATTCAAAATTAAATCTTGCTAAACCTCAAACAGTATTTCTTTGGTCTATAGGATTAACTTCTTGTAACCGGCATTACTAAAGCAAGGCAATTTCTACTCTTATCAAACTCATGAGATCAGAAGTCACATAAACTAACTACCAACACCTCAACTACAGAGGGACCTATATATATTCAATTAAGAAAAACCTATATTGCCAAAGGACAAAATTATGAATAAAGATGCTTAATATTTTATTAACACAAAAAGAATCATAATTTCTTATAAACTCTAACTCTGAGCCTGCATTCTATACGAATAACTAACTCTGCATTCTATAATGCATTAAGTCACCAAACATACATGCCAGCTGAAAAACAGGAGGAAAAGTTAGATTTCTCCTCTCTTTCCTTTGGAATATTTTGTTTAACAAACCAAATTAAACAAATTGGAAGCAAAAAAATTGTGTGATGGATGGATTAATTTCCTAACTTTTTCCCTATTACTCTTAACTTTCCAAGCTCTACAAGCAGAATTAAAATGGCCTCACACATTTCTGAGGCATCATCATCACTAGGATTCTTTTTCCTTGTGGAATAAACCATCCAGGCATGGTCAAGCTTCCTGTCCGGTGCGACCCCAACTGAACTTGGAACTTGAGCGTCATGGCACGTCACCAATCCGTCACTCTTCTCCCCGTACCGGAGTTGTAGATGAAGTGCAGTCACAGCCATTGCGGCAGATAAAGGAATCACTATAGGCAGCTGGCATCCTGCTTGAACGATTTTATCTGACTCTTCTTGAGTTCCAAAATTTGGTAGGGGCAGCCAGGGATTTTTGGCATGTGCTATATGTGTCATTGTGGCAAACATATCAGGGGCTATGCTTGCCTCAGAGTGGAAGGAAACCAGAGGAATTTGCTCATATGGCAGCTTGTGCTTCATGATGAACTCCTTTTGCTTCTCGTAGGTAAGATCCTCCAGTGCCCGAATGTCACCCTACAATGCAAATATGAATTGAGATGTTTCCAAACACAACTTATAATTCGCCACTTGTTTAGTACATACACAAAGGACTTTCAACAGGCTCAGGCATTGGTGCTATTACCTTAATTAGCTTGCATATCAAAAGTTCCATGATCCTGCGGGTTTCTTTGTCTGCAATCTGGCCTTCGCGAAGAATATCAGAAGCCAAGGGAGTGCCACCATAGGGGCTCTGTACCAGTGCTAAGCCAGCAACTTTGTCTTTCAAATCACACCAGTAGATTGACAATGCAGCTGCAGCATCAACGCCGCTCTTGCTGTGCCCCAGCAGCATCACACGCTTACCGGATCCCCATTAAAGCTCCTCGTTGTATTGCTTGAGTTTCGATGCATTGTGCTCAACAGGTGCCTTCATCCAAGAAAACATATGAAAATTGAAGACAAATTTCACAAAACTCAGTCAGCAATGATCACAGAGTAATGACTCATTACCTCACTGTGAATTTTTGCAATATGGCAAGCTAGACCCATCTTCAAAAAGAATTTCTTTGTTCCAACAAAGTATAAGGGGCTGTGATTGCTAAAGAGGCCTGGAAAATCAAAGTTCCCATAACTATAGGTGCCACAACA